AGTGCGATTAAAATGCGTTAATTTTTTTAACGCGTTAATTTTTGTGTAATTAATTCATCTTAATTAACGCGTTAAAGTCCCGGCCCTAGTTCCAATATATTCTCACATATCGGCCTCTAGGAACAGATCCAGCAGCATCCTCTCAGTGCGACACTGGGCGAAGTGCAGCGATTGGTTCAACCTGTTCCTGAGAGCGATGAACTCTGGGATTTTCTCGAACGCTCCGTATTTATACGCCTGGATGATGTACTCGGAGGTCTGGAAGAAAGAAAGAGGGAAGGAGAGATAAAGAAAAGACAAAGAAGGTATAAGAAAACATGTACCCCAGCTTTAAAAGAGTCAGGAATCACAAACAGGGGTGGACTTACATCTTTCTGGTTAGAGTGGAAAAACCTGAGGGAGAAATTACAGGTCTGGGAGGCTGCAGCAAAATGACCCAATGACTCGGCATAACGTGTTAACAGAAACCTGGAAGAGAGAACAAGAAAATACTTTTTTGTACGCAAATCTCTTGCTAAATCATCAAACATCGCAGAAAAGGAAAGAGATCAGTCTTAGCTGGCCAAAAATGGTTCTTTTAGCACTTTATCACTTTTCTATAAACTTATGTGTAAAGTCATGAAACAACAAGCTGCATTTGGCAAATCATGTTTTACTAAATGCATTTATCAATTCACTCCTTGACTAATATCTCTAAAGGAATATTTGTAATATTACAATGGGAAACATTACAGAAATAAATATGTTGACTGTTTTAATCAAATGTACATTCATCTTTTTAATTACAAATATATAAGCCCTTATAATGACTGGCAGAAATACCCAATAGTTTAGTTACCTACATTAATAATCGCCTAAACATGAAAATGTCTACAGATATAGATTTTTTTTTTCTCCACACACATTTGGTTTATATCATTATCTAGCACTCCTAACTATCAAAAAAAACTAACAGGTAAGTGTAAGTGCATATTCCTCTTTGTCATCCTTTTCTCCCTGATAAATACAAGCACAGATGCAGTTGTGTATTTGTACTGACCCTATGGTGTCGTGCTGTACATGCTTGGCATCCAGGCTGGAGTAAAGGTCCACCACAGGCTCAAAGGCTCCCAGCTGACAGTAGACGAGCAGCAGCAGCAGCTTGAACTGGGCGTTGGAGGGGCTGAGAGTCAGACCCTCGTGGAGGATACCCAAACTCTGCCACACATAGTTGTCATTGCCTGCAACAACAGAGTGTAACACGTTTAGAGATGATGTCACTGAGACAGAGAAAAGATCTGGAAGAAGAGAAAGAAAAACTCACCTGTCTCCTTCCATAAGTCAATGTACACATGAGCTGCCATGAGACAATACATATCAGAAAACTGCAGCTCCGTCTTCACAGCGTTCTTCCCTGTGAAACACAGATATCAACCAATCAGAACAAACTACTGTATGGCAGTAACTGTTGACAGGAAAACCTGATTTTGAAATGTATGAAAATCTTCTCAAATACAATAATTGTACCTTATGGTAAAAAAGTTGTACAAGTACTTGGCTCATAAGAATATTTAAAATAGTTTAATGAAAGATAGAGAGTCTCCTGTACCATAACTAAAACATTCCTAACACAAACCCAACATCCTGCAATAAACTTATTGCAGCTTTTTGTCCCAAGTGGGAGGTTAGTATCTGATTATTAGAGGCATTCAAGTCTAATATGAGTGAGTGAAAACTGATTTTGTTCCCACAAATGAGATCATACAAACACACACATGTTCTGACAATGTTTGAAAAGAGTGTTGCTGGTTGAACTAAATCGGAGTTGCATAAAACTTGAACAAGGTTTAAAATCGCATGTCAATGCTAATGCTGCCATTTGTTCATTGATCAGAAAGACACAAACATCCTTCTCACAGCTCTTTCCATATGCAAAAGAGTACATGCAAATTTGCTTTGCATGTGAATGGCTTACTGAGGATGGAAATCATTATGCTTTTGGCTTCTAGGAGGATTAGTTCAGGCATGGTCATGTCTTTTCAAAAAGGTGTAAATCTGCTCTTTTTGCCAAACACGGTTCAAGCAAGTTACGAGAAATGGTGTTAAAAAAAGAGCTGCAACTGTTAGTCAATCAACAGAAAAATGATATCATTCTGACTTCTTTTCCATCTCTTCATATGTCGTCACTGAGATCCATTGAAGCATCAGAGTCATTCAACAGCAAAGAACAAAAAGCAACGTGTTGACTTTGTTTCTTCTCTGTCAGTATAATTTGCAAACACTTCACAGTTCTCCAGATGCTGTGTGAACGCAACAACAAAGAACAAGAACTGATGTACTGCCATGGTGACAAATCACTGCTGTTACCAGAACAATTGAGCTAATCAAAAAGAGCTTCCATTTTCCAGTCACTGAGTATATCTGTCTGTTTTTGGTAATTACAAGAAGTCATGTCTCTTTAGTCCATGTACAAAAGGATTGTTTGAAAAAATAAAAAAAACGAGTATAAAAAGTGAATAAAAGTGATGTTCTTACCAAACTTGAGTCCATAGCGATAGTGAGCTTTGAGCTCTGTGATTAGCCGCAGTTTCCCGTCCACGTCCAGAGCGTGATGCAGCCCGATTGCTCGACTCAGCTGACACACACATAAATGCCTCTGCATCGCTTTGGTGTCGTCCGGAAAAGCAAACCCCTCCTCTCCCTGCTCCCCCAGAGGGACCGCTTCACTCAGAAGGTTAATGAACTGAAAGGTTGACGAGAGAAGAGATGCATTTCACATCACAACTCATACAATAAATTCACAAGTGTCATGTCCATGATGCTGCTGTTACTCACCTGCACGTGTTGATCAGGAGCGAGCAGATGGAGGTATATTTTTAGGTCGGTGATGCAGCAAGGTTTGTCTCCAAACTTCCCAAAGAACTGCACCATGAGCTCTAAAGGCTCACCTGTTCAAAGCCACATAAAGTCACATTGGGCTAAAAAACCGGGAAAGAGTGAAACTCAAAAAAAGAGATACTGTTTTGACAGTCCATGTGTTTTACCTAACAGGCTTTCTTCAGGACAGCCCCTTTCTCTCAGTCTGTGAATTAATTCAAGACGAGCTAAATAGGGTCCCCTGAGTGAACGAGAGTCTTTGCCGTCCTCCCCTTTAACCCTGTCCACCACGAACCTCACCACTTCAGTCACAGTGTGATGCACCGGACCCTCCGGACAGCTGCAGACAGACAGGCACAGATCAATGCTGGACAATATTACACTGTTTCCCCTACATTGATTTATTTCGAAAGGCCTGTCAAAATATCAACATTGACCACCATATTTTCTTTTATGCTTTACAATAGTTAATGTATAAATTAAAATGTTATTTGCCAATGTATAGAATGTTTTTAAAACCCTGTCGTATCGAAATGGGCCTCTGCATTAAAAACACATCAGATAGAAATCCTTTATACTCACTGATCTCCTTCTTCTGGAGGACTCCATGACTGATCGATCAGGTAGAAGAGAGAGTCAAAATAGCAGGAGTAGAACTGCCAATCATCAGGACTAGAAACAGAAACACAGGTTTGTAAATTATGTTTGTCAGTGAACAGTAGTTTCTCTCATGTTCACAGAAAAGTCTTGTAGAGTCTTTTCTCACTTTTTGAGTAGCAGCTTGTGGGCCAGCGAGTTGCACTCCGGCCAGCGCTTGAGTCTCTGGTAGAGCATCATACACTTGTTTTCTCGACTTTGCAGCTCACTGGTAAGCTTCTCTGTTGGAGGAAAAAACTAATTAAAAAAAAAGGTCAGCTGGTCTCTAAATCCGATGTATTATCACCATTTAACGAACTTCAAATAACATGTTCAAGTAACACTTAATTAGGATTATTAATTGTTTTCATTGTGTATAACTGGATTTGATCAATGCTCTGCATGATTGGTGTACTACTTTGAAAATGCTATTGTTGTCATAATAAAATAAGCCAACTGACTGCCACTGAGGACTGACTGTAACTGACACGCACAGAGATAAAGATGAGTGTGTCCATTGTCTTTATAAATAAATACGATGATCTCTCAGGCTTTACAAGAACAGAGGCACATACACCTACCCCCAAGTGGGCCCCGGATGACTTCGAGAGCCTCCACACACTTTCCCAAGCGCTCCAGGATCATGAAATACAGCTGGACCTAAAGGCACACAGAACAAGCCAGACATTACATTACGTGTTACTTGTTAGACGCTTTTATCCAAAGCGACTTACATAGTCAATACTGTGGACAATCCCCACAGGAGCAATTTGGGTTGAAGTGTCTCAGGGACACAACGACATGCAGTGGGGTTTGAACCTGTGATCTGAGCACCAACACACAACCCACTGCGCCAAACACCTCCAGACACAATTGTAAATAGAACGAGCAACTCTGGAACAATTATCTGTTTTGTGTTTTTATCTGTAAATTAATGGGAAAAAGTGGGTGCTGTAACATATTTGAGGACCCAACATACAAGTGTTCAAATGCATCTTTAAGGCCAGATATGTTGGAATAACAATCCTTCACTCACCTCTGCTTCAGCTTCAATCTTCTCCTCCTTGACCATTTTCTCCACCATGCGTTCAGCCAGAGGCAGGAACATGGTTTGGGACAGTTTTTCATCCTGTGCTGAGATGGCCTACACAACATATAACATGATAGTTTCAGAATTTTGAAAATATTTAGGAAATGAGAGTGTCTTTGTTTAACAAAAAAAGCCCGCCAGTACCTGCATCACCAGACTCATGACCGACCAGAAGTAATAAGGATTCTTGGGGACGATTTTATACAAGGCCATCCCTGCCTGTAAAGTGCCAAGATGAAGTCATCAACATCCTCTTCATTATTCTGATTATATGTCCATCTTTTTAATTAGCAATGAAGCACAAAAGCCACAGCTGTTAGTACTGTGCGTTTGCATGTTTATATGCAGAGGGTGGACCTGAGTTTTCTCACCTGCTGCATCTTCTTGTACTCTCCCACGCGAGCGTAAGCCATGAAGAGGTGAGAGTGATACTCCTCACTAAGGGGAACCTTCTTCACCGCAGCTTCATACAGCTTGGTGACCAACTCCGCTGTGAACAACAACAACAACAACAATATTCAAAATTCAGTCACTTTAGTATTATAAGTAGCCTTCATTGGTGTATGTATCTGTGTGTGTACTCACGACGATGCATCTCTCTGTACAGAATAGTCAGAGCTTGTAGCGAGTTGTCATCAGTCGGCTCGAGAGTGGCCACTTCCTGGGCCAAAGTAAAAGCCTCATCCTGCTTTCCAGTCCTCTGAAGGCCAATAGCCTTTAGTACCTGTAAGGACAACAACATAAAATATTCTACAAATTGTTTTCTTTTCAGACTTCATAAAACATTATGTTGAGTTCAAATCAATCTTTTGGGTGACATTTTCAGAGCTCAGGCATGCAGCATGTATGCAGCAAGTCAAAAATGGTGGGAAATGGTGAATAAGGACTCTTGATAAAGTAAAACAAAAAAGGAAAGGCTTCATCCAATCGATCTTACTAAGAATGCCAACGGTAGAAATAAAAACCCACAATTCAACACTTCTAGTGAGAATTACTTAGTCACCCACCTTGGCACAGTGCAGGTCCTTGTGTTTCTTCAGCAGTTTATCTGCCTGCTGTATAGCCATTTTATTGTTGCCATTATCAAGGTAATCTGGGAAAATACAAAAAACAACATTATTATATTAATGATAAAAAATAGACAAAAGTAAGAATGCAATGGGCAATAGAGACTTTGCAAAAATGAACAAAAAATAATTGTTAGCTGAAGATCAAGTGTCACCATAACTTGAAATGCTTTTCTGAATGGTTGTTGAATGTTCAAGTATGTGACACACAAACAGAGACACCTCAATTCAACTCCTTCAGGACAGCTGGCTGCCAAAATTAACTGTGCCAGACAGCACACTGAGATTATGTCATGTCTATTCTCTGTGTTCAAACTGTGATCAGAGAAGCACCAACAATTGATGAAAGCCTACATAAATGTGAGGAACTTGGACTTATCAGTTAGATCCAGGGTTGATAAGTTCATGCTCTACTGCCAAACTTAGCAGCCCTGAAGCTCCAGCCATAAATACAGAGACACAAGCTAATTTATTTATGGGTTTCAACTTTCAAACTACATTTTAATGTCACTGCAGCTGAAGAGTTAGGAGTTAAAAACGTCACAACTGCACAACAGTGCAGTAACATGCTTAAAGTTGAATTAAATAAAAGTATATGACTCCAAAGGGTTTTTCTTTGTGATGAAAAGTCCAATTGCGTGGTTTTTAAAACGACACTACAAACATACATTGGTTTTTAGAGAATATGATAAATATAATCCAGATTAAACTACCCAACAGTATATAAAGATTGTAAACCAGCACAACCTTAAACATCTGCAGCACGAAGGAATACAACATAATCATTAATGCAGCAGAAATAAACTAAACACATTATATATATTCTAAAAAACACTGACGGGGGAGATTGTTGCACAATGAATACGTGAAGTACATTTTGCAGGTAAGGGGTTTGAATGCAGAGTTTATACTCACAGTAGAGTATTTCAGTGTGATAGTAGTACGTTCACAAAAGCAAAATATCTGAATACTTCCAACACTGTTCACACACTCAAAACACAGTAATATCTGTTAATCCTGTCATTTATCAGCCTTTTCATTCTGTTCTGCAAGAGGACCGTGAGCTGTGACAGCTCCATGCTAACAAGCTAGCCGGAGTTAGCTTGAAGCATTGTCCTTCTACTATTATGAACCTGATGCCCTGCTAGCTAAACGTTTGAGTTTTGGATAGCTACAAAGCAGCTACACATTCAGAATGGACGCAGACAGCTAATCACAACGGAACTTGTTGTCAACACAAAGCACATAGCACGCATACAATCATAACTTTTATTTGTAACATACATACAGTTTCAGTATATCTATGGGGTACCCTGCTAGCTGACATATTAGCATGCTAGCTAGCTGTCAAATAGCGACCGTTAGCAAAAAAGGAGTTCGACTTTGAGAATGTGCAAAACCACACAACAGACATTTCTGCACCATTCATTGTTTTTACACCACCAAGTATATCTACTGCTTTAACTTGGAGGAAACGGTTTCAACTGGAGACTCTTGCCATACAAGGGCTTGGTTTCAGACCGGGTAAGGTGCACTGTCATTGGGCGCTGCAAGCACCAGAGTCCGTGGTCTGAGCTGGTGGGGCCGCATTGCTGCCTTCTGACCCAAAAACCTTCCACTTTAATACACATACACCCGTATACAACCCAAGGATGTTTCTGGAGCATCAAATTACGTGTATTTGTATAACTCCCCATTGAGTCCTTACCGTATATGGGTCTGAGTCTCCTGTCGTTAGGATCCTGCACATGGCCTCTCGCCGCCATGGTGGAGTTTACCTGCTGGGTAAATGTTGGCGCATGCGTACTGCGCGCTGCCACAGAGAGCGAAGGATTTCTCTCGCTGTCATTGTTTTCTGAGCACAGCCAGGTTTAAATGTATGTATAAATCTGTACAACTATCAGAATAAAAATACTCAGTTCTTGTAGTTGGGTCAAATTGCTAACACTGATTGTAAAATATTCTACTTTATTATGTGACTTAAGTAAAAACAAAGGTATTCGTACTATTTAACTACTACTATAGCCTACTATACTATACTACTATTTAACTATATAAGCAGTCTACTCATTCATTGTGCAGAATGGCCCGTTTTAGAATCATATATATTATATTATTGTTATCATGGCTTTAATTAAGCTGGTAACGGTAGATACTTTACATTTACTTTAGATAGGCTACTGCTCGGTTGCTTAAACCAGTGGTTGCGCAGAGGCATGACGGGGGGGCGCGAGAGACCAGGAGGAAAAATGGTTATAAAAAAAAGAAAAAAAAAGAATCATCATTTGAAAAATTATTGATTCGAAAATAATATGATACAGTACAGTACTATTACGTCTGGGTCTCTGTGTTTCATTAAAGCTCGGCTCTGTGTGTGTGTGAAACGAGCCATTTTGTGTGCATGCACGAGCGAGAGAGAGAGAGCGCAACGGTACCGGAGATCGTTGTTGTTAGCTTCTGGTGCTAGCGAGCTACGCTAACGGATATAAGGAGTTTTTTCAATAAAAAGTGGAGGAGAGTCCTCTCCTGTCAGACTGAGAGACTCATTGAGCTAAAGGACTCTCTCAGTGTTATCTCAGTAGGTCTCAAACGTTTTGGTCACCACAATGTAAACAATTATTTCCGAGGCACACGTTTATATGATCATTATACTATAGTTATAAAAAAATAAGAGAATAAATAAAAACAGGTATGAAATACTATATGACAGTAAAAAAAGAATAAAGTTTAAAAGGGTGATTTGTAAAATATCCATTATGAAAAAGGAAATCTGTTTACAGTTCTGTTTCAAATGGGTGTTGAGAGAGGTATCCATAGATCTCTTCATTTTTCTCTCAAAGTGAAAAATGATTGATGCATTTAACTTCAATATTTAAAAATAAATCTTCCCGGAGGAGCTTGCCCCTATGTAAGGTCCACACACCACCTATAAAAATAGCACTTTACCCCTGCTTACACCTATATGCCGTGAGCTGATTATCGAGCCTTCATTGTAACAGTTGGGGGTAGGTATGCTTGGGGATTGTTGCAGTAGAAAATTCCACTGTAGCGAACGGTACATTAATGGGAAACCCTCTATGAAACGTCAAGCTACCCCACAGCACCCCCAAAAAAAATGTCTGGCGCCGCCACTGAGCCTGACTTGTGTTGGGGGGCCCCAACTTTTTTTTTTCTCCAAAGGGGGGGCCTGACAGAAAAAGTTTGGGAACCACTGGCTTAAACGATGATAATACATCATCATATAGCCTATTACAATACAACATGAATCACTGCTGAAGATCCTCTCCATGCAAAGAAATTAGCACCAAACTATACAAATTATAATAATAATAATATAAAATTACTTAAAGGTGGGGTAGGTGAGTTTGAGAAAACGTCTCAAGATACACTTTTTGTTATATTTCATGAAATGCTCTTAACATCCCGATAGCAATGAATATCTTAAGTGCTTTGACAAAAAATCCATAAAAAATGTTCTTCTGTGGAAGCCGTAGTACTGTAAAAAGCACGACCAACCATTTAGCCGGCCCGACTAAAATAACTGGATGGCCTACCTGCCTGACAGCCTTCCATCTGTGCAAACTTATCTCGTTCATTGGTCATGTGCGCATTCGTGTGTGTTGGAGGAGGGGCTCTGTAAGGAAGTGGCATTTTTTTGTTGCATTTTCAAATTCTAGCTGGTTTCTCCAAAATTACCTACCCCACCTTTAAAGTGTATGTAACGTATATTAGTTGTTTATAATTATTGATTGATTAATCAGAATAACTTAAATCATATGCATTCATATTTATATATTGCAGTTGGTAAAGGGCATCATTCACGTCCGGGAAAAAAATACGGCTCCGCCCACTTTTGGTGGAAAACAAAGCTGTCATTTGAATGGTGGTCAACACAAATTCTGAAGTTTTTGCCAATCCGGTCAGAAATGTAAGAAAACCTTGGATTTTTGGATCTTCAAAGAGCCCGATTTCAATGGCCAGACAGGCAAACAATGACATTAAGCCATTGGAAATCGACGATGAGAGTAACATCTATGTCAATTCCGGGCGAAAATTACGGCCCCGCCCACAGATGATGTTTGTCAATCTTAAAAAATAATTTCCATGTCAAAAAAGTTACAGTTTGTCGTAAAACTGTTGAAATATAAGTATGAAAAATACGCAACTAGAAAGACTACAAATCCCAGAGTCGCGTAAGTGATGTCATAACTGATGTCACAATTGCTTTCCTCCACCAAATAAGAGATAGCTAAAATAAGATAACTTTAACAAGATGCCTGTGTGCTTAGTACCAGGTTGTTATCATACCAGCAATGGGTCTTGATCGGTCTTTCGCTTCCCGTGTGATGAAAGGACCAGGAGTGGCTGGATCAAGTTAGCTACCTAGCTAGTAGCAAGCACGTTAGTTAGCATTACAGCCTTAGCCTTGTCATTTGTATTAGCCTTAACATTAAGTAACCCAAAATGTTAAACAGTAAGAGTAGTAGTCATATTTCGTGAACCCTTTGAAGAGTACTGTCACACCGGTGTGATCATTCTATAATACACCATTTAAGCCCGGGGAAGAAATGCTAACAATAACGCTACATTAGCATCGGCGATCTTTTCTACCTCATGCTATCTGCACAAATGGTTGACATTAAACATTAGAAAGATCAGGCAGTTCAGAGAGAATCAAAGGAAGGAAGGCAGGCAGGCAGCTTTGCATGACATTCTTCTGGACGTGTTTCATTGTGTTGTTAGTGAGGGTAGTCAATCCTTTTTTTGACAAGACAGTAGTGACGGCCATCTTGGTGACGTGTGTTGTTGTGTGAGTCTGCGAGACCAGAGATGTAGTTCATTGAGCGTTTCACACAAAACATTTTGTTACTTCACAGTTTTACGACACATTTTTATTTTTTTTACTTGCAAAATTATCTTTTAAATTGACAAACCTCATATGTAATTCGTGGCACAATTCAAACGGGATCGAAAGATAATCTTTCTCTCTCCATTGACTTCAATGCATAACTTTTCCGAAATAAGGTCCCATGGAGCTCCATGGGACTGCCGAAAAGTTATGTAGGTATAACATTGTGTTTTTTAACCATTTCAAAGTTAATCTAACGTCGACATTTTAGTGGTCTCACCTTCCGTATTCGAAATTCTCCATTAGCATGACACACCACCATTTTCGCAAAGCTGGCATGTCAATCTAAAAAAGGAAAGAAATATATTATCACTGTATGTCAGATTAAATGTCATAATGGGATTTTGAGTTTACTTTAAATGACCAGATCAATTTACAATAGTGAAATCACAGGGTGCATCTAGTATGGTGTAAAGGGCATACTATGAAAGAAAAAATATGATTTAATGTTATTATCTTAAAAACAACAGAGAATTAAATCAGACCAATAATGTAGCCTACCATCAACATGAAGATGCCACAGTCATTCCCATACAGTTGCCTGGGGAAACCATAGCATGTCAGAAAGCATTTAGTTGTTTTGTTATGGTTTGCCATTTCTGTTGAATATAAATGATACAAATTGTATACTATTACCTCTTTTTCTAAACCAGTCGTCTCTTTCCACGGTCCAGGATGTATTGACTGTGAAAGGTTTCTAGAATGAAAAACGCAGCTGTATGAAGATCTAAACAGGTAGCTATCAAAATGAACAATATGTTCCTCTTTCATGCACAACACACACCATGTGGCCAGAGAGGCTGGACACGCGGTTCGAGGAGCGTAGGCCGACCGTTAAATTGGCGAGAGGGGTGGGCGCCGAGTCCCCCTACTAGAACAGTTATGCTGAGTTCCCTCGCGGCGGCTTACTTTCTTGGTGCTTTAGGCGGCTATACTGGTTCTTATGGAGGTGCTTTAGACCTCCGCAGACCATTCCAGTGTGTAACAAAACGTATTTTGCTAATCTCTAAACTAAACGTGTAAATGATACTATGTGAAACAAAAAAGTCGGAGAGGGAAGTTCCACCCGACCAGTCACTAAGACACGGAGTACCCACCAGATGTCAAACTTCAAGTTGAGTTCCCGTCTCAGGGACGGTCTCTAACAATGTCTAGAAGGAAAACAGTACCTTGTAGACGGTTTACGGTCATAAATAGCTAAAACGAGCTCCAAACCGTGAGTCATCGTTTGAGGCAAAAGGGTCGTAGTGATGGCGAAAGTGTACTTCGCTTTCTGACCGGCGTAGTTGGGTACTCATTGGTACGGTCGGCACCGAGCTTTTTTTGACTTTCCAAGAGATGTACCTTATTGAGTCTACAATTTGTTGCAGGACTACCTCCTACCTGTAGTGAGTGACCAAGGAGTTCTTGTGATACACAACAGTCTATTAAGGGTACTCCCGTTGTGGTATCTAGGGTGTCCCGCTTCACCCCCCCGATTCCTGGCGAGGATCGGGTCCGGTGGGAAGGCGCGAACCAGATTTATGTCGGGTCCGAACGCTCGTCGAAAAAGAGTTCATATCGCCGGCGTTTGTGGTGGATGAAGGGAATTATGGGTGAGGGCGGCGTGGCAGTGGTGTATGGAGAAGAGACTAGGCGTCTTTGTAGTAGTTGGTGGAGTGGGGCTTTGGTGGGTGTTTGTCTTTGCGTTTGAAACCTTGTCGTCGACGTCTCGTGCCGTATTCGATGGTCAACAAGACAGTCCTGACAGTAGGACCTGGGTAGACGCTCTTCAGTCATAAACCATTGATACGTGGCGCTTGCGAGCGAGATGGCGAAGAGAGAGAGCGGGCAGTGAAAGCCGAGAAGGCGGAGAGAGCCATTGATGTAACTATAAAGGATTTTAGGAAGTCCTGTAGGGGTTTGGACTTTCCAGACATGCAAGTTGTATAGTCGTCAACCTTGGAGACACGTCTGTCCCGAGTATGTTTGTTCCATCCATAATCCAACAGTTATGTATTTGACCAAAACCGATACGAAAACGGAGTGAAATAAAGAGGAACTATCTACTACAGAGTACACCTTGTTAACACTTTTGTAGTGGTTTGAAACGTTCATTCCTGTAGCGGTTCGTAGCTACCTTTGACGTTGGTTGAGTAGACGGGTTTCTGTCGACCATGTATCATGCAGAGAACTCGTTTTACATCGAGACTATAGAAGAACTCTCCAAACACAAAGAGAGAACTTTGGGTCGGTGGAGTACCCACGGAACCCTTTCATATGACAATAAATACTTCAAATTGTATGTAAAACTAAGAAAAAATAAAGAAATTTTTAATTCGAGTGGATACAGAACCTATAGCTCTCCGGTCCCGTCTCAACTAACAGTTCTTGGTCCTTTTTATAACGGACTGTGCACCACTGGAAAACCGGAACCGAATTGGTTACTTTAACTTAAGTTTGGCATTCAATGTCGAAATACAATAAAACAACTGTCGATTAACGAGTACATCAATCCGGCGATTTTTTAGTTGGGAAAAACCAAAGAAAACGCTATCCATTGTGGACAAAACTCAATAGCTTTTCTTAACGAGTTAGTTCCATTTTGTGCAAAAAAAAGCCTTATATGAAAAAAAGAAGAATATTGTAAACGACCCCGGAGCCCGAGTATAGTTATAAAAGTGTCCCTACTTGTAAACACAACGACTAACATTCGAACACGGTGTACGCCTGGGTCGAAATACGTTGGTGCAGAGTTGAAATGACATTAATTAACTACGAATGACCAAAGCATGTTTATATAAAAAAGGCCTGATAATTTCAAACAAAATGAAAAGGAAAAAGATACTCTTACTACGAAGGTAGGTCTGCGAGAATAAGCACCACACCTTTGGACCCGTGAAGACAACCGACATTTCATAGACTATGAGTGACTGCACTTTAAAGTGCTCCTTTAAGATTTAATGTTAGAACAACACACGAAATAAATAGGCTCCATTTTTAGGTAACTCTAGTTGCTTACAGAAAATATTCCTCTGATTATTTAGATACAAAAATTTTCATTAACATTGAAAATGTAATGTGACATGGCACTAGCAGAAAGCAACGAGCAAACACTTCAACTACAGACCAGGAGGCGTTACGACAATTTACACTAATTGACGTTTAACATCCAAAAACCTTCGGTTGTTCTTCTGTTATCGAAAGACCAAGGTTTACACGGTACGTGTTAAACCTAAACCCACTAGGTCCTGACTCTGTCGACAACTCCAAGTGATTGTTGTTGAAAACAAGTTGTTAACACCAAGAGTAACAACAAGTAGGCAAGTATACCGGAAACTCTCCAAATCAGAAAAAAAGTGGTCTAGTCATCTAGACACAAATCGGGAAAAAATTAATACCACGTACCCTTTTTTTGGCAGTTAAATAAAGTTAGAATTCAGATATCACTACTGGTATGTTATGAAAAATTTGGTCGTTAATTAATTTATTGGACGTGGTATTCTTCCGGACGATTTAGCTTTAAAACTGACTACCCTTCTGACAACGTTCTCTCACCACGTCTCACCCTTATTGCCTTCATGTCTTATGAAAACAACGAATGACATAATTAATCATTCACTGTTATTGGTAGTTTCTGCTCGGGAACCACGACGTGTAGTACGTGGTATTGTACGTTGGTGCTTTTTCCGAAATTTCAGTGTAACATCACACTAATTGTTTCGGACATGAAACAATTTCGACTTTTCAACATAAGTCTGAAGGATGAAAATGTTAATAAACAAATGTGTTCAATAGACATGAAGATGAATTATTTGCTCAAACATGAAAACGG